CACTTAAAATTTAAGTGTGGATAAAAGTGAGCCACCAAGACCACAGACTACTGTCATCTCTTAGAACTAATCGTTCAGCAGGATTCCTACCTCTCCTCACACTTTCATTTAGTGACACTACATAGGGATAAGGTTTTGAAGAACAGCTTTGAATTATTTGCTGAAGTATTTCAGATCTCAGTATGAGAAGGACTGATAACAAAGCTTTCAACACAATGTTGACCTGACTACCCCTGCACCATATAGATCCTTATAGAATATCTTCAGCAAACAATTATACACACAGAGCCCTGTGCCTGTGTTAACACATTTTCAAGACTAGGATCTTCAACTGAAACAGAGTAAACAAAACAACAACAAAAAAACAAATAAATATATGTTAAATGAATGGCAAATTAACAACTCTCACAATTTCCTGACAGTGCTTTTGGAGGATTTCAACTTGGTGTAACCACTGCATTACACAAAAGCTGAAGACCCAAGGGAAGTCCTGCCTTTTCAGTGTACTAAACAAGCAGATCCCAGCTCCTCTTGCTGACATTCCAAGCAAATAGCAGCTGGAATGCCAAAAGATGCATTCTATCATCTTCTAAAATCTATCTTTCCACACATCTCCTAGAGTTGCCACATGAGTTCTAGCCCTGTGCAGGTTATCCTCTACACTGTTCTCAGCCTCAATGCCAACAGCAAAACCAATCTGGTCAAAACCAGGTCAGTCCTCAGACCACTCAGAGGCTTTAAAAAGAAAGCAACAAAACAACCCAACAAAGAGTTTAATGAGCAGAACAAAGAGATGTCACAAAACCTGCCTGGGACAACCACTCTCCACCTCCAGGACAGCAGTTAGACACCTGAAAAGGAGTATTTCACACTAAGTCCCATCACTACTATGTCCCCTCCCAGATGTCACCTTCCTCCTTGTCATCCTCATGGATTTCCAGATGTTCTGCTTACTCTGAGAGGAAGGAAGGCAGAAACATGATGAAAGAAAAGACCAATCAAGAACATGAAAATTTTACTTGAGAACCTTCCTGTGAGTTTACAATGAACATGCTAACTCTTCATTCAAGAAGCTATCCATAATAACTAAGTTCTCTGAACTGAGCTCAAGCAAACACTGACTCTCTGAAGATCACAGCTCTATTTGAATAGAAAAATCCTGCATTTTTATAACAGTTTCCTAAGCATCTTGAATGTACTTCACTTATATCCATCAGAAAATAAGCTGCTGCATTTTCCAACGTCAGCACCCTCTGGAAGCTCTCGCTCTTCCTGATGGCAGACAGGATTTCAGAAGGATGCTGCAAACATAACTCATAAATCTGACTATTCTTTGTGCTGGCACGTAAATGATCAGCATATATAAGCATTGTGTTCCTGTCCAAGCAGGAAACACATCATTCAGAGAAAAGGTGGAAGTAGGAAATAGCCTGTTCTACACTGACTAAAACCAACATGTTTTCAGCCAACTACCACCAAACTATGCAGCTCTTGTTTATCAGAAAGCTCAGACAAGAGAGTCAACCAGCAAGCCACTCTAAGAGATGCAGTGAGTGACCTAGAGTATGCAGAGACTGGATTCATACCAAAATACAGAGCAAACCATTCCAGCAGCAGGACTAAATGATCTCATCCCATCAGCAGACACTCCTGTCACCCCCATTTGATATTGTCAGCCATGACTTGGAGCTGACTTACCTGGCAGAGGTGGCAGGAAGCCAGGGTGATGTGCTTCAATGCTGTGAAATTCCTTCTACAGCAAATTATTCACCCAAGCACTGCTGGGAAGCACTTCAAACCAATCCTCTACTTGCAGAATTTTACAAAGATTCAGTCTTTCTGACCGATTTACCTAAATGACTGCATCTCTGTGATGAAGCCGACCAGACAAAATGGGTTCAAGTGATAAAAATAGCACAGCTCCCTATCTACCCATCACCACATGTGATGACATCAGCACCATCCAAGAGGATTCTGTCATTTGGTGACATCTACTCATGGAGGATCAATCCAAGACTGTCAACATTGGCAGAGACAAAAATTTTGAAGAGCACACAGCTGATGATGTCAAAGCATAACCTGTTAGAGAGGTTCAGTTTCACTAACAGTTTATCCACCCTGTGGTTCCTATGCCTGCTCTACACTCCCCAAAACACCTCTGACCACCTCCCAAACAGACCCTTCAGAGCTCTAGTGCCTTGTTTGTTAATCTCCAAGTTGATTTCTCGTTCAGAAGTTGAAGTCTTGAGCCTGCACACTCCCAGCAGATCTGCACACTGTGTTTGTGGTACACAGTGCACAGCCTGGATATTGCTCCAGGTCCCTTAGAGCAGCTCTGGCAAAAAGGCACGAGTAAGCACCTGCCACCAGAACAATTAATTCTCTTTCCTGAGATCATCTCGGGGTCACAAAGAGCTCTGGATCACATTAATTATTTTAAATAAATTATTATGAGGATGATAAATGATTAATGATAAATGATAAAATATTTTAAGATGCTTGGATTACCCATACTGTTTGCAGCTCTTAATATGTTGGTATCAATAGTCTTATTTTATATCTTTCTGAGTGGACACGCTTCTGTGTTACAACACATGCACCCTATCCTATTCAGTCTAATTCAATTTCTGGCATTTACTCTAATTAACACACATCTTCTTAGTAATCACAAAACTGAGGCTATTAGAGGAGGAAGTTCATTACTTTAAAGGAAATTCTGTTTACAGCTAGATTACTCTTGACAGCTCAATATACAAAAACAAGTTTTAGAACTACAATGCTTCCACTGAATTCGCTGGAAAATACTATAAAAGTAACTGATATGTTTACAGAATGTGGTCTTTATTCCCCTAAACATAACATTTTCTTTCAAAAGGAATACCATTGATGCCAGTCTCTCAAAGAACAATGAGAATTTAAACAATAGAGAAACTGGATTTCTAAAGTAAGTATTTGATAATTATTTGAGTTTTACCAATACATTATAGAAATTTCACAACTACAAACCCTTGCACATCCAGAGTCTATTTGACTTACATATTTTGCACCACATTAATCACTTGAAAATTTTTGATAACAGTTTGTGCATACATGGACATTTTTAGATCTTTCTGAATATGTTCACTTAATCAAACCAATGTTAATCAGGACTCTTGCTAAACAGCAGTACATATTCTTAGTAAGACACACAGCAAGTTATGTTATCCAAGCACCACATAACTCCACTGAGAGAGAAATTTTTGGAGTATCACAACTCAAAGATCATTATTAAAAGGAAATCGATATATTTAAACAATCTGAACTACTAATAAGAGTCATTCAGAATGCCTTATTGGCCTAAGCACAGTATAGAAAATAGTTTTGGTTTCAAGACATTGACGGTAGTGGCGTGGTGACACTTTTATTTTGCTTTAAAGCAAATAAGTAACCTGACTCTCTTCACAGGACCATGGAAAATTGTAAGCAGCAATCACACTGCATAGGCTTGCATTATTGGGCTGAGAAATCAATCAAAAAGGGCCATGGAAAAGAGTAAGCAGCAATCACACTGCTTAAGCTTGAATTATTTGGGTGAGAAATCAATCAAAAAACTTGTAACAACAGAAATCAACGCAGGGATCCCAAGCATTCCACCAGAGCTGGAAACAGCCTCTCCCAAGGGTCAGGGATACGCGTCCCGTCCTCTGTCCTGCAGGAGCTTCTCCTCCTCCTCCTCCTGACAGGCGAACGCCTCCCGCTCATCCCTCAGCCCCTTCCCGCTGTCCCCGCACGGTCACGGCCCCCTGCCACAGCAGCTCAGCCGCTCCAGGCGGCACCAACCCCCCGGTACCGAGAGGAAAACGGGGTGACGTGCGGAGCACCAGCCCTCTCGCCTTCAACCCCCCGGCCCACGGTAAGCCCGGCGGTTCGGGGTGGGGAAGCGCCAGGAGAGACCCTCAGGGCCTCCATGAGGGGAGGGCACCGGCTCACCCCGCGGCCCCGGGGCACGGCGGGGAGCGGGAGCCGGGCGGGGCGAGGGCGGCCAGCGGCCCCCGCCGCGCCCCGACCCTCATTCCCCGCGGGCCGAGCCCCTCCCGCCCACAGGGCCTGTACCCCCAGCGGCAATCCCAGCCCGGCTGCACCCTGGGGCTACCGCACAGCCCCGCTGAGCTCCCCCGCGGCCGCCCGGTGCGCAGGGCCGCGAGTCCCCGGCAGCCCGGTACCTGCTGGCTGAGGGGGATGAGCGCCGCCATCTTCCTCCCGCTGGGTCGGGCCGCGGCCGGGGCGGAGCGAGGGGCGGGAGGCGGTGGCACGGCCGGGACGGGCCGGGCGGGCCCGAGGCGGTGCCGGGGACCCGCCGCGGCGGCTGAGGCGGCTGAGGAGGCGCCCGGGACCCGCCGGGGAGCGGCCGCGGCGGCTGAGGCGGTGCCGGGGACCCACCGGGGAGCGGCCGCGGCGGCTGAGGAGGCGCCCGGGACCCGCCGGGGATGGGCCGGGCGGGCCCGAGGCGGTGCCGGGGAGCCACCGGGGAGCGGCCGCGGCGGCTGAGGCGGTGCCGGGGACCCCCCAGGAGCCCACCGGGGAGCGGCCGCGGCGGCTGAGAAGGCGCCCGGGACCCGCCGGGGAGCGGCCGCGGCGGCTGAGGGGGTGCCCGGGACCCGCCCGGGACCCACCGGCGAGCGGCCGCGGCGGTCTCGGGGCCGTTGCCGCTGCCCGCAGCGCTCCGCAGAGCCGCCGAATCGTTCGGAACGGATGAGACCTCTGAGGTCACCGCGTCCAGCCTTTGACAGGTCAGAGCGCTGCTGAGCTCCTGTCGCTCCTGTGAAAAAAGCCAAGCGCTTGGTTTTTAAATTTTTTTAAAGTTTAGTAATAATAAAATGGTTATAAAAATAGTAATGCAACTAGAGTAATAAAATTTAGTTAGGACAATTGCAAGACAAGAAAAAGCAAATAATTACGGACGTCCGGATGCTCTCGGACATTAAGTCACGAAAAGCATCCCTTGTGAACAAGGGAATAACCTTAAAAGCAATAGCCTATTGCGTATTCATATATCTCATACGTGATGCATAAATTCCTTGCAAATTAAGAACTTTTCTGGTCTTTGTCAACTTCTCCTTTATCTTGGTGGTTACAAAAAGACAGAGAAAAGGTGGAAGAATGTTTGTTTTTTTCTGATAAGGAAGTGTAACTTTTTATGGGCCCCCTTTGCTGACATCTCTGTGTGTAGAGTTTCTTGATTATCTCATCTTCCTGCTTGAGCTTGTAACAAATCCTATATCACAGAGTTTCTATTTTAACGTTATGTTGTAACCTAAAACTACATTTAACACCTGCAGGGACGGGGACTTCACCACCGCCTCCCTGGGCAGTCACACAAGCCCAAAAGGAGCAAGGTTTGAATGGAGCACAGTGGGCCTGCTCCTGCTATTCCTCATCCTGCTTTATGTTCATTTCCTTTTTATGACCATAAAAAATTTCATTTTTATGCATCAATAGTTTCTCAATCAGATTAGACAAGGAATCTTTAAAATGTGGAAATAAAGGACAAAAACACCCATGGGAATTTCATGTTCATTTATCCCCATGTTCCATCTCCCAGATCTTTTGCATAAACTTCAGCATCTATTATCAAGAAATTATAAAAAAATTGTGCCTTTCTCCTTCACTTTGGAAGGAAAACAGAAAAAAAACAGGAAGTCTGTTTTCTTAAGAGCCCTTGGATTTCTCATCCATTTGATTTCCATTCCCCCAGGATGAACTACATGTTTCGAATACAGTCAGGCAAAGAAAGTGGCTCAAGTTGTTCCCTTAGCTAGGAGTTTCCTAAGAGGAAATTATTTATAAACTGTATAGACTCAAGTCTTAGGAACTGCCTCACAGCAGAATGATATCACTAGAAAGTACTAGAAAATTAACCCAGAAAAACAAAAAAAACTAGGCAAAATAAAAATGATCCATGGCAGAAGCTCAATAGCTGTATAATTATATTGCAACTATATAATGATGTTAGATATGCCAAATTTCACTGTGACACGTGAAATACAAGTTTCGCCAAGTGCCAGAAACGACACGCAAGTACAAAGGGCAGGTAATAACCTACAATACATTGTTTCAGTGAGGGGGTCTTAACGCAAATCCTGTGGAACAACTGGATTAATTTTCAACTCGCTCCAACAATTAGCAGATCGCGGGTTTGTAAAAATCCCTATTTATTGACCCCGATGCATGCTGGGACTTGTAGTCGGGGCACCGCTGCCGGCAGCTGTAACCCTGCTTGTGATTGGCTGGTGGTGCCGAATCGCTGCGCGGAGCCAATGAGTGGGCGGGGTATTGGGGAGTCGCGGACTCCAGGGCCCGGCCCAGAGAAGCATCAGCCGCCTCGGCGTGGGCAGATCCGGAGTTCTCCTGTCCCTGCCCCTGTCCTGCCCCGTTCGGCTCTGTCCCGTCCCGTCCCGGATGGCCACGATCTCTCGGGCACCCGCGGGCCGAGGGCAGGTGAGGCACCGGTGCCCCGTGCCAGTGTGTGGCGGGCAGCCTGGGCGCGGGCCGGTGTTCGTGTGTTGTGTGGGCAGGGATCTGTACGAGCCCCTTCCTATGGCTCCCTAGAGAACGGGGCTGAGAGCAGCTCTGCTCCAGGGAACCAGGACAGGACATGGGGACAGTCTTAAGCTGTGCCAGGGGAGGTTTAGGTTGGACAGCAGAAAGGATTTCTCAGCAGAAAGGGTGGTCGGACATTGGAAGGGGCTGCCCGTGGAGTTGTCAGCGTTCAGGAACACACATAATCACAGGATATGATTCTATGCAGGTGCTTTTATTGAAGAGCTCTGGGAATCAGGGGTACAGACCCAAATCTGACTCCGACATGGCTTTCCAGCTGAACGTATTTTATATTGTATCGTTATATAATTTACATATTAATTATTAAGCTTATATTGTTCTATCGTATACATTGACTTTATTCAAGCAGGCGTTTCTCGTGATCTTTCTCAAGCCCCTGACCACAGTTTCTCATGATTATTCTTACGATTAAGCAGTAATTGTATTTAATTACTAAACAATCATCAGATCTAACAATTATATCATTTATCATGTACTAGGTACACAGGTACAGTTCTAGCAAGTACAAGGCCTACACTTTCCCAGGGTATTTTCCCAGGGCCTACTAAGCTTAATTTTTCCTTCTAACCCCCAAATCCCCATGATTTAAAAACCCTTTTACTGTCAGAGTCACCATCCCTGTGGAGTCGCCATCCCTGGAGATGTTTGAGGAAAGTCTGGATGTGGCACTCAGTGTTCTGGTCAGGTTAACAATGTGGGGATTGTCACTTTTGAGGCAGGATGGGAATAGAAAAGACTCCAAGATCTTTTCTTGGCAAAGAAGGCAAAGAAAAGAACTTTATTAAAAAGTAGCATTCCTCTTTTATAACCAGGTGAAATAGGATTGGTCTCAAAGTGAAAACCTTTCACACAAATGGTACACTTGAACTTAGGCCAGTGTAGCAGAACATACCTATAAACAATATGAACAGAGAGAGAGATAATAATTGTTGACATTCCTCTCGGACTTTTTCCCAGTCTTAGCCTGGCAGAATCTCTCTCCTTTTCTCTCTGAACTGAGAATATCCATAGGGATCAGTCACAAGCTGATGTCAGCTCTTTCCTAAGGTCAGTGACTCTGTGATTCTTGGCAGGGCTACGGCCATGGACCCCGCGGGAGCAGCAGCCGTGGTGACCTCAGGGTGGGCACGGGGCTGGAGGAGGCTGGAAGGGCTCTGTCCCAGCACGGCAGGTTCCTGACGGTGAGCGATGGGAGCGCTGCTGGGGTGCAGCGGGGCCGGAGGCCGGGAGATGCCGTCGGGGCAGGGAGCGGCCGTGCAGCCCCGAGCGCCGCCCGCACGCGCCTCAGCTCCGTCCTCAACAAAGTGGCACAGCTGGAAAGCAAAGTCATGGCGCACAAAAAGCACCTGGAATTGCACAACACTGACTCGGGCATGAGGCCTTTGGCTGAGGAGTGCACCTCGTCTGCCTCTGGGCACGAAGGTGGTGCCAGGGGCAAGAAGTACTGGAAGAAGAATTATGGTAGCACCAGTGGGAGTGGGACCCACAGAGATGCCTGTTCTGAGGAAGAGGAGAGCATGCAAAGCCCTAAAAGGAGTGTCATGGTTAAACAACAGCTTGATCTGGATAGTGATGAAGAGGAAATGAGAGAATTGATGGAGAGCTCTTTGGGGTTTTCCACTGGAAGTGAGAAACAGAAGGTTCTGGTAAGTGATGCCCAGTGGGATAGAAAAGTAAATACAAATTTTGCTGGATTATGTATTTCTATTAATGCTTTTATGTAATTGTTCTAATTGGTTGATCACTTTTTGTTTAGATAACACCAGCAACTAAATTTTAAATTTGCATTTGTGTCTTGCTCATGATACGATTCAGGTTCACATCTTAACATCTTAAAATTTTACCCACAATGATTTGTTTTCCCTTTAGCAATCTACACGTAACAATGAAGTAACACATAAATCTCTTTTTAATATTCTTCAAAAAGAGCAAGACTCCAGTTCCATCAGGAAAGGCTCCTCCACCTCGTAAGGAAGTTTCATCAGCAGAGTCATCTAAAGCATCTTCTTTTCACAACAAAGACTCAGAGCAAAGTGTGTTTGGTAGAGTTAATTCACCAGCCCCTTCACCCACCAGCAGAAATCTGTCAGGACATACCACGAGACCTCGATTGCTGTCATCTTCCATGAAAGACAACACTGTGAAGAGTGCTCTGCCTGCAACAGGCTACACCAAGCAAATCCAAGAATCCCTTGAAAGTGACAGAAGTGAAATAAAATCATTAGATGAATTATTTTCTGAAGGAGCTGATGGAGAAGATCTATCCAGCAGCAGCTTGAAATGTAAGTTTTCTAAAATACTGTCTCAGTAGACTCAGTATGAATTGTACTGATAATCTCCTGATAAATTCCCTTAATAAATATGGGCAAATAGTCACTTCGAAAGGATTCGCTGGTGAAATTTTGCATAAACCAAGGCCTGGTCAAAGTAATTATCTTGATCTGTTTCTTTTTTCTTGTGTAATAGATTTGTATTTTTCTTAGCTTTTGACTTAATGGGTTCAGATTAATGATGCTGCCCTGGGTGACATCATGATGTCAAAACAAAACATTTAGAGTAGTTTTCCTGTATCAGTGGCACAATGTACCAATGGGTCAGAGTGAGAACAGCTGGAAATGAGGCGCAGCAAAAGTCTGTTTAACTTCAGGAACATCAGCTGATCAAAGGAGGAAATTTTACGGGTTTCTATGAAGTTAAAGAATCTGTGATTGATTGCTGTTACATTTTAGTACTGAACTAGTAAAGTGTACTGTGATTTTCATGCAAATTCTCATGTGTAGGTGTCATTTGTTTGCAGACTTTGGACTGAATATCCTGAGCCTCGATGATTTGGCACCTGATACTACCAGTAAGGCAGAAGAATTAAAGCAGAATGTAAGTAGAAATTCCCCACTAGCACATATTCCCAGTCTGCCTTTGGTAGAGTGTGGAGGTTCTAAAATAAATAATTTTACAGGAAAAAGACATCCAATTTACACAAGAATCAAAGAAATATGTGAAAAAAGATACATTGCTGGTGGAAGAGGACCAGGCTGCTCTAAAAATGACCAGTGCAATAACTGGTGTGAGTGATTCTTCTGAAGAGGAGGTTGAAAAATGTATCTCTGAAGCTGAAATCTCTGAACATTTAAGTGGAGTTTCCTCAGATCTCCCTCCACACAAACAGGATTATCTTAATCAGAATGAAAGTACTGTTAATTCCGAATATTCTGAAGACTTTGAAAGGTCTCTGTCTACACCAGACAGGCAATCTGGAGAGGGACGAGCTGAGAGCTGCAGTTCTGGAGCACACCCATCTTCGGGGCCATCCCCGTTGGTCACCGCGGGGCAGCACAGCCGGGGGCACCGAGTGAGCGTCACAGAAACCGGAGTGCAGACAGCAGAGCCGCCCTGCACCGCCTGCCGCGCCAAGGGTGAGTTCAGCACCTACTGCCCTCCTCAGGCAAGTTTTACACCTACATATATGCCAGCCTTGAGAGACTTCTTTGTGGATGTGACAGCCTGCTCAGAGAGTGAGAAAACTAGAGAAGTTTTCCCAGAATCGTCCTGGGAGACGTTCGGGAGTTGGAGATAAACAATGATAGCCAAATATTAAAAACAACCTACAGGTGTTTTTCCTACTGTCTGTTTTCTTGTTATTCTCAGAGATTGTTTATAAAAGGGCATCTTGTTAATTAGGTGGAACGTATTAACTAAATAACCAATCAAATCCACTGGAACAGTGTATAAAAAGGAGCCATCTGAAATAAATGAGCACTATATACACTATGCAACCTTCTGATGACTTTATGTCACTTCTTACTGAACAGTAACATTTCTTCACTTCAGTGACAGCTTTCCCTCACTGGTGCTAAATAAATTTTTTTCTAAAGCCGAGCACTTTAATCTGCTGTCTATATGGGATTGAATATCATCATAAGGAATGTTTTTTGCTTAAAAATACCCCCCACAGGATCTGAGGGGATGAGCAAGTGTTAGAGCTCACAGTAGCACGAGTAGTACTCTCAAATGAAATTCAATATTCTGCTATCTTTACTATTGTAAATAATTGCATTATTAGTGCTGGTATTAGTAGTGTTACTAAAGTGATTGCTCATTCAGAGTTCTTTTGCACTATACTTCTTTCTTGGGAAAGCATTCTGGCCCCATGACAGCATCAGATATGAGTTTTAACATCCTGCCTACATCTCTTTACTAATAGGAAAAAGTGCTAAGAGCCACCATTCCTTGCCACACTCGAGGAGAAAGTAGAAACTTGAGTGTGCTTGAAAAGAGAAGCATTGAGTATAAAAGTCTTTACTTTTACTCTGCCTAGGATTAGAAAAGGTGCCTTCTGCAATGGTGTTGTGAGCCTAATAGTAAAGAAACCGTGGAAGTTGTGTAACTATGTCAAGATGTGTTTGGCTGACAGCGTTCTCCTGTTAGGCTGTGCAGTGGTTTTAGGGCAGCTGCTGTCCCAAGAAATTGCAGGAGAGCCAAGCAGCAGCACTAAAGCTTTCCCCTCTGCCCAGAGTAATTCTGATGCTATCCTGTGCACAGCAAACCCTGCTGCAGTGCTCGGCCCCGCTCTGGGAACCAGCTACATCGATCCAGTGCCAATTGCCAGTCACGTCATCAGCATGGATGCAGTAGAAGGTACCAAACCCACCTTTATTCTTCTTTTTTCCTCTGTTTTCTGCACGAGCCTGGCTTGCTTTGCTCAGCCCTTGCTGCCAGCCGTGCCTCACCGCAGGGCCCTGTCCCTTTCTCGCAGCCCTGACCGCGTACAGCCCCTCCGTTCTCCTCTTACACACCATGTGCAAGCAGCACCTGATGCTGACCCAGCAGTTTGTGGAGAGCATTCACCACCTTCACACAGCCCTCGTGGAGTCACTAGAGCATGAGAAGTTCCACTACCACACCCTGGAAGAGGCTAAAGAGGTATTTATGACAAACCAGAGACTGAGCATGTACTCCTTTCCAAACGGGTACTTACAGCAAACCTAGTTTCTCTGCATATGATTAATTAGTAAGTTTAAAAGAAAAATAAAAAAAGACGGAAGTCCTGCTGGAGGCCATAGTTTTTAAAGATTAAGGTTTCTACTGTAGCATTTAGCTGTCCTCAAATGAGCAGGGGTCATTCAGATGCTGCAACAGAAGGGTCACTTTCTGTTGCTAGTACAGAAATGTGCAGCTATCTTGACAGGAAGACTAGTTGCTTTCTACTATTTAATAAATAATAATCTACATTATGAAGACATTAGCTTATAAACTTTTTTTTTTTTTTTGCAGTACATCAAGAATCACAAATCACCACCTCTAACAATTGAGCAAGCGCTTGAAGAAATTCGGAGAGCCCAGGAGAACTGCTTGGACAGTTATTGAACTTTAAGTGACGTTTATATTCACGGCTCTAAGGCTGAAACAATAAACCTTTCCAAGTTGCACAGAAAAAAGGTTAAAAACTGTACTGGAAGGATCCATACAAACTGCTATGTTAGTTATAAATTAGTGCAAGTTGCTAATTATTATATATAATTTAGCTTTCTATACCTGAATGTTTTACTTATGTACACAATACACGGAGGAACCTTCAGCCAGACTGTCAGCAAAAGAGACAAGGTAACACTTCTGTGTAATGGCACTGTGGTAAGTCATCACAGTGCATGCATTTACCCAGTGAAGTGTGAGATCTGTGATCTCATCTATGATGGTGGTAGAAGTGAAAGTCTGTACTACAGCCTCTGAGAAATACAACCACAGCAGAAAATTACCATATCCTGACTTCAGTGCCATTATCCAAACAGCTTTTCTATATAATTAGCCTTGTCAGATTACAACAAACCCAAACACATGCTTGGGTGTGTTTATTAAGAGAAATTCCAAACAAGGTACAGGAAATCTCAGCTGAATCTTTATTTTAAAAAAATTGTTTATTGGAGGGCAAAACAGCAACATTCACAAGTTGGTAACATACAGGTGTTGTATGCTGATTCACAGACAGGTACAGTTCCACAACTACAGTAGATCTAGAACAAACTGATATTCCACCATATTAACTGAATGGTTTTAAGAGGGTTTTTGCTCTACAAACAAACAACTGGAAAAGGGAGCCGCCACGCAGACCTGGGGAGTGGAAGTGCAGTGTAAGGGCCTAACAGCTCTAGCTGGTGGTCTCTGGAAACAGTTACAAAAGGTTTCTTTCTGTTTTCATTTAGATTACATCAAGTTTCCAAGAACATCTCGTTGATAGAAAGGTGTAGAGCAGAGAAAATGGATTCTCTTCTATTGAACTAATTAGCTTTTATTAAAGGGTATATACAAAAATATAAAAAGCTCAAAGACTGTGTTCCATTACAAAGCATTGCCTATCCCTCAGAGTGCTGGGAAAGCTACCAGAGAACTGCCCCTCGTGTCCTGCCCCTCGTGGTGGCTGCAGCAGCTGCTGGGCAGGGCCTGCAGGTGGGTGGAAGGTTCTAAAAGCTTGCACAGTGCTCAGAGGTCACCTGCACTGGAACTAGATGCTTCATCCCCCATTTAGACATTAGGATACACTGCTCAGCATCAGGCTGACTTGATCCCAAGGCAGCACACTTCCACTTCAAATAGAGTTAACCTTTTGAGAGAAATAAACATATATTATGGAACTAGAAAATATACAACCACATCAGATAATGTCTGTATTCCAGAGGAATGAATGAAGCATAGTCCTGCACCAGGAACAGCTAGACTGGGGTTTAGTTCCACTGTAAAATGGGGAACTAATTAGAAAGTTTTGCAAGATAGATGGAAATTTTTAAACTTGCTAGACATGTCATAGTAACAACTGGACTTTTTTAAGCCTTTTTTAGGCCTTTTTTAAGCCCTAATTGACAAGTACATGTCATAGCTTTCAATTTTTCACCATAATTTTAAAAGTAGTTCATTTGTCACTTCCTCCAGACTTTAATCTGGATTTGTAAAAGTTTAATGTTTTGCAGAAGATGCAAGATACCTTTCTTCAGAGTCTTACTCAGGTGGTGAAGGGTCTTGTTTTTCACACTTCACTGAAACAATAGGGAGAAGATTCCTACACATTCCAGTTACCTAAGCTGTCTGAAGTGTTTGGTGGAATGAGGACTCTGTTAATAAGGATTTTTTCCTTATGGGTTTTATTTGAACCCATTTGATTGCACAGATAGAGGCAGAAGTGACATTTCATTGAGCATGCCAGCTTTTTCCTTCTAGCTGCTGGCAAGTGCCAATGTCCAGTGTATCACAGACTCTGCAAAAATGCATCATCTGGGTAATTGTGTTTTTCTGAACCCTTCCTGCACCACAGGGAATTTATTACCAATTCTGGCTTTGGCAGAACATGATACTAATGGTAGGAAACTCTGAATAGGGCAGAGGTAAACACTAAGTATGGCCTTGGTTCCAACCACAAGGACCTGCCTGCTGTGGCAGCTGTCCCTTGTGTGGCACAGCTCCCCCTCCAATAACTTAGAGACTGTTCCAACTTTTTGTGGGGCAACATCCAAAGATGTTGCAGGTGCTCAGTACTGCAGCCAGGAAGTGACTTGCACAGAACACACTAATTAATTAACATTTCAGAAACTAGAACACAACTCAGTGCCTAAAAAGGAAAACCTGCTGGGTTAATCAGACTACACATCCACTTACCTGTTGTTTTACTGTATCAGTTACCTTAGAAAAAATTAAGAGCTACTGCTATTTTGATTTGGGTTTGCAAAAATCACTTTCAAGTCCATAGAGGTTTTTAAATTGCTGAGAAACATTCACTTACATTCATCCCTGGCCTTCATGCGTGCGATAAATGAGTAACTTTTATTTCTTCTGTAGTTTTCATAAGGGTCGTCCAATGCAACTCCCACTCCTTTGTACTGATCCCATTTGTCTCGGATATCACCTCCTTTAATTGGATCTTGAATTCCTTGTTCCTTAGCTCCTAATCCACCAGATCCACTCCATCCTGCAGCAAGGACACAACATTGCAATCCTTTCACTGTTTTTTTTATTACTAGAATTGTGAAGACAAACACGGACATTTTGGAAACAACCAAAGACAGCATCAGTTTGATAAAGCAGGATGGGAACAGACAACCTGAAACAGCACATGAACCGTCCCATTTATTTCACAAGTATTAATATACAGAGATTCTAGGAGCTGACAGCAGCGTTATCCATAAAAGCTGTTAGGAGGATAAGAGAAAAGGCAGTGAAAGTCCAATCTGTCTGGTCAACTGTGCTGACCTGCACTGCAGGGAGATGAAATACTTTTGGGTAGGGTCAGTTCTATCTGAAGCCAAGCTCACATCCCTGTCTTCTCTATTTTTCTCAGAAAGGCAACTATCATTGCTCCATATACTTACATCTCTGAATATTCTTATGCTGACCTTGGAATGCCAAGGAATAATTCCATATGAACATGCATTAATTATATCTAAAACTTTACTGTCCAATTTTGTTTCCTGGCTTGTGTAAGATTCTAGAACAGCATCTTACCCATTTTCACTAGCATTTGATGGCCTTTATTTTCTTCTCCAAGTCTCGATTCTGGTATAGGAGGCCCAGAACTGGAGCCCAAACCAGCAGAAGAACTAAGAAAATAACAAATTAAGAACCAGTGACATTATTCTGACACAAAACACAGTCAGTTCTATCTTGTTAAATATTAACAGCCAACACAATTCCCTGCACTCTACTAAGCTATTCTTTATTAAAGCCATCAGTTTATGCAGTTATTGAGGTGCCAGAAACACATCACCTGCTTCTCAGTTTGATTTCTCAGGGAAATCAAACACTGTGCTCTTCCCAGTGGAGCACACAGAGAATTACTCCTGCTCTCAATGAAGGCATACACAGACTTCACAGCTGCACGCAGTTTTGTTGAAATAAAAAGCCGCTACAATAGAGTAATATTCTCTCTACAGGTCCATACAACAGATAACTTGTTTCTAAATCCGCTCTTTGTCGAAACGCTAATTATCCCCTGGTACCGAGGCAGTGCCCCTGCAGGCTCTCTGTTCAAACAGCCCAGGTCAAAGCGGAGCTTACGGAGGAGTGGGGCTGCGGGAGCGGGAGCGGCGCCGCCTTCCTGGGGAGTACGACTTGGACCGGGACCGGGACCGGGACCGGGATCGGCTGTGAGAGGAGCGGGACCTGCTCCGGCTTCTGCAAGGGAGAGCACAGAGTTACCAGAGCAACCCCGCGGATCCCTGCCTCGGCCTCCAGGGCTGGGGTTCTCCACTCCCCAGTTCCCAAGGCTCAGCCCGTGCCTTACCTGGACTGCGAGCGAGAATAGGATCGGGATCGAGAGCAAGAGCGTGAGCGGGATCTCGAGTAGGAGCCAGATGATTTTGAAGATCGTGAGTGAGACCGGGAAGATGAACGACCTCGGCTTTTAGACCGACTGCGAGACCGAGAGGGCCCACTGCACAAATGAGCAGAGAAACTCCACTGAGATTCCACAGAGAGGCACCAGAAACACAACTCTACTCCTGATCAAATTCAAATTACACACAAGCACTACTTCTGCAGCAAAAGTGAAAGCTTGAGTGTGAAAAACTGTTTCACAGAATCACAAAGCGGTTTGAGTTGGAAGGGACCTTAAAGCTCATCCAGTTCCAACCCCTGCCATTGAGCAGGGACACCTTCCTCAAGACCAGGCTGCTCCAAGCCCCATTTAACCCGGCCTGGGGCACTTCCAGGGATGGGGCACCCACAGCTACTCTGGGGAAGCTGTGCCGTGTCCATTTTCTGCAGATTAGACAGAAATCCCAGCACACTGAAACTCATTTATTCCACCAGCATGTTGCTGAACAGACTTTCCCTCGGCATTTAGCCCAAGCACTTTGAACAGCACACAGCAGAAGGTGGCACACAAGAACTCTCACCTATTTCTCTTCTCTTGACCTTTCCTCCGCCTCGCTCTCATTTTAGCTCTGAAGAATTCGTACAGTCCATTCTGCTCCCATCCTTCACTGCAACAAATCAACCACACAGAACCCACACGTGTGAATTCCACTTCAGTGCTGACCTTAAGAATTTTCACCAGGTTTTGTACAGAACAAAGGGTCTGGGCAAAACTGTCTTGCAAATCTCAGTATCAGATCAAACAGCAAGTGCAGTTGCAATACAAGAAGAGCATTAGGAGAACAAAGACACAGGTGAAAGAGAGTGAGGTACTTTGTGGTTTGAGGCACATTCTTAGGGCATTTTCTTTACCATTTTATTGGCTACACCTACTCTTACCTGTTTCTAGGCCTGTCATGAGATGGTGGACTATAAAATGCCTCAACTGCAGCCAGGAGTCTCTCACTGGGGGGCATTGGAGGTGGAAGACGTATATCTTTAGGATCTAAAGGTTTATATTCATGATCTTCAAGCTGCCAGAAACAAAACAAATTACATTCATGTCATGTGTCATGGGGTGGCTACCTGAAGAATTAAATAC